TGCACTATGTTTCAGAGTCTCAGAGCCATGCCACACTAGGACAATTAAAAAACTATCCACTGGCCCTCCCTGGTGGCGCAGCGGGTTAAAGCACTGCACTGAGAAGCTAAATCCACTTCCGCTTGAGTTCGATTCCCGCCTGCCCGGCAGGTGGGAATTGAACTCATGCGGAAGCGGCTTTAGATTCTCAGTGCTGTGCTTTAACCCGCTGCGCCACCAGGGAGGGCCGAATGTTTAGTCTTTTAAAGCCTGCCTGCTTTGCACACCCTGCAAAGTTATAACCAGTATCTGTTAGCTGTAGTTAAGACAAGCCCAGTGCCTGTAAAAGACCCCAAGCAGCTGCTGCCTTGGCATTCCCTGACTCCCATCTTGCTGCTGCTGAGTGAATCATCTGGACACAGCAACCCCTCTTCTCCCCCACCATGTACCCCTGTCCTAATACCCCATAATCAGCTTATTGTGCAATACTGCTAGCTCACACTCCTACCCTTCTTTGATCTGCCCTGAAATCCTTGAACTCACCCACAAGTGCACATGGAACATTCTCCAGCACAGACCACATTTTAGACCCTATAACAAGCCTCTATACATTTGAAAGGGCTAAAATCATGCAAAATATGTTCTCCAACCACAATGGAATGAAATTAGAAATAAATAACAGAAGGAAATTTGGGAAATTCACAAATATGTAAAAATTAAACAACACATTCCTAAATGTGTTTGAAATTTAGGTGAAGGAAAACGAAAACCCAATATAGCAAAAAGGATGGGAAGCAGCTAGGTCATGCTCAGAGGGAAATAGCTATAAATGCCTCGACTGAAAAAGAAGAAAAGGTCTCGTATCAACACCTAATTGTTCACGATCAAACAAGAACTCAAACAAGAAGACTAACTGAAGCCCAAAGCAAGCAGGAGGAAATTATATAGACTAGAACAGAAATAAGTTGAGAAGAGAGAAAATAAAGGGAGAGAAAAGTTGATTGCTTTAAGGCAACAAAGTTGACAAATTTTTCACTACAACTACCAAAGAAAAGAAGACACTGATTACTACACACAGGAATGAAAGAGGGCTATTACTAAAAGCCTTGCAGAAGAAAAGGAAGTTCTAAGGGGAAACCATGAGCGGTTTTGTGCCAAGAAATTAAATAGGCTAGACAAAATTGGCAGATTCTTAGAAGAACACAAATGCCAAAGCTGACCCAAAAGCAAAGAGAAAAATCTAAATAGATAACACCAAGTAAAGAGATTGAATTATTAATCAAAAAATCTTTCCCGGGCCCTCCCTGGTGGCGCAGTGGGTTAAAGCGCCCCACTCGGAAGCTAAAGCCACTTCAGCATGAGTTCGATCCTCACCCCGGAGGTGACACACATGGCGCAGCAGACCTCTCCTGACCCACTCGCTGTTCCCCTCAGCAGTGTACTTCCTCCATCTGCCTGTCCTGCTCCCCACTCTGTCTCTGGTGAATCCTCTCGCCACCCCTGCGCCTCTGGACTATACCAGTTCTGTATGCATAAATAAATAATTTTTTTAAAAAACCTTTCCCACAAAAAAGACAAGCTCATGTCCAGGCGGTGGATTCTAACAAATGCTGAAACAATCA